CCCGGGAGGCGGAGCTTGCAGTGAGCCGAGATCGTGCCACTGCACTCCAGCCTGGGCGACACAGCGAGACTCCGTCTCAAAAAAAAAAAACAAAAACAAAAACAAAAAAAAAAAAACACGGCACCCGTGCTCAGCAATGGCTGGGGAGTGTGTGAGTCGGAGGATGTCTCCAGCCTGAGCCAAGTTGACCATCCCAGCCTCCCACGCCTCTTCCTTCCTACAGAGCAGAGGTTTTCAACTGATGTGGGGGTGATTCTGCCCCCAGGATGAGAACCTGCTGTGTTGGTGTTGGTGGCAGCAGTTGCCCAAGTGAAGTCGGCATTTCCTAGCCTTCCGCGCATCTGGGAAGGATCACAGGACCGGTTCTTGCCAATGCACTAAGGGTGGAAGTGATGTGTGTCACTTCCAGGATGAAGTGGTTAAAAAGCAGGTGTGGTTCCCACCATCAAGGTGCTGGCCAGATAGGAAGGATATCCAGAACTTACAGGGGGTGGCAGAGCCACCCCTGGAAAGATCCTGCGTCCCAGCCACCTGAGCAGGGGCGCTGATATTGGAGGTAAGAATACATCTTCAGGTGTCAAGTAACTGAGTTTTCTGAATTTACCTTTAACAGAAGGCAGGGTTATCTCAGTGAATACAAGAGGGCGTGTCGACTCATCTTTGTTCTTCCCCTGGGAGAAGGCATCTGAGGGCAGCAGAAACCCCCGTGCTGTGGGCCTTAGGGTCTAGGTCCATGGCCACAGGCCCTAGTGAATGGAGCTGGGACCTATGCCTGAACCCCGGCTCCAATTAGGACTCAGGGCCCATAATAGTTCAAATGTAAGGTGATGAGTGACCCAGGGCTCAGCCTGAGTGTGGGGAGACGCTGAAGCCATGGGTGCCTGAGCACCTCAGTGACTGCCTGAGCACCTCAGTGACTCAGCTGGGAGTGTGGGCAGGAAGAGCTCCTGGCTCCTAATGGTGTCCTAAGTCCTCACTACGTGCTAGGCATCACTAGACACAGGGCGTCAGAGAAGCTGAATCCCTTGCCCAAGTTCGTAGAACTGAGAAAGTGATGGAGCAGAGATGTGGACCCCCATCTCTCTGACTCACAGTCTGTGCTTTCTACCCCAGCAGTGTATCCCAAAGTTCAACAGAAGCTGTTGGTTTGTGTCCTTTGAGCAGTTGGTGTTCCAGCACCAGGCCTGGGGGCTTTCTGTCAGCCCTTCATGGGGAAGGTCAGAAGTGCCAGTGTTAATTTCCTCAGGAGCAGCCCTCGGCCAATGAGAGGTGAGAGTTGGAGAATAAATACCCCTGCTCCCTCGCCCCTTGGGTGAGATATCTCTGAAGTGTCGCTCCTACACTGTCTCCCAGAGGTCCTTCGTGGGATTGAGACCTGGCCAGCCTCAGTGGCAACCTGTTTAAAAACACACCTTTCTCAACATCCTTCCCTTTCCTGTCTTGCTTCCTCATTCCCCGATTGGTGCTGCTTTCTGGGTTCTTCTTATAAACAAACTACTTGTGCTGATTCCTGTCGCAGGTTCTGTCTCCGTGGAAACCCAACGCAAGATAATAAAGTATGGTTTGTCAGACAACCCACAGGGAGAAAATCTTCACAATCTATACATCCAATAAAGGACAAATATACAGAATCTACAAGGAACTCAAACAAATTAGAAACAACAACAAAAAGGCCAGGTGTGGTGTCTCACGCCTGTAAACCCAGCACTTTGGGAGGCCGGTGGGCAGATCAGGTCAGGAGATCAAGATCATCCTGGCTAATACGGTGAAATCCCATCTCTACTAAAAATACAAAAACTTAGCTGGGCGAGGTGGCGGGCGCCTATAGTCTTAGCTACTCAGGAGGCTGAGGCAGGAGAATGGCGTGAACCTGGGAGGCAGAGCTTGCAGTGAGCCGAGATCGTGTCACTGC